TCAGTAATCTAATTGATACATTAAGAGTTAAAATCACCTCTAAAGTATTACTTAACTCTTAATGCACCAGTCACATGGCTTAATTCAACTATAATGTTAATTTACTTCTCAGTGTGATTGGGGCCTAAATTGACAAACGAAAAAAAAAAGAAGGAAAGAAAGAAAGAACGTTCGTTGTACATGGGCATTTCTTGCACCAATTAAAGTGCACTTAACCATGATAGCGTTATCTAAGAGAACAATAATGACCATTAAATGAACACAATTGTCAGAAATCAAGAGAAACAGTGGACGTCCTTTTTCATTGGTCATCTCTTATACTAGTCAATTGTTCTCGACCATATCACTGTAGAACAAAGAAAATGATTTTGAATAACCGAATGAAACTGAAAAAAACATGAATCGACTCGATTCGACCTCTTTTCTAGAAGTATCATTCTATTCGATTCGACTTTTTGTCAATTCTTTTTATACATTCGATTCGATTTGGCAGTTTTGGAGTTCTATTCGGAGTCGATTCGATTCGATTTCGGTCTCTGGTAAATATTATTTAATTCAAAATACAGTTTAAATTTTTTTTCTTTAGTTTTCTTAAGTTTTCTTATACAAGACTGTTTATAGCAACCATATTAGTAACGGCTCCTCTTGTTTCATTATTACCACCAAATACACATAAACATGATTCTTTTTTTTATACAACAGTAGTGAGTCTCTATTTTTTTATTTTTACTTTTTTTGTTTTGATTATTTTAGGCCGTCTCATCTTTCTCAGGTGCTATTCTCAGCGTCATTTATATAGCTACACTTGAACTGAGAAAAGAAAAGAAATATCAAAGACGCCTGAGAAAAATTCGTACATATCGCCATCGTCTTGGAGAACAAACAACACGTGTTTAATATACAAAAACATTTCATTCTTTCTTATACTTTCTTCATATTTCTTTTTTTTATCTTTTAATTCATACACATCTATATATCTAGTATTATTTCCATTTCAAAAAGATTTATCTAAAAAAAATAAAGTTGAATTAAATAAATTTATGTTATTAAAGTAATTTAACACATTCACAAAGATAATAACATGCATAACCACACGGCATTTTCCCTTCCTCGTCAACAGCAAGAATAGGAAGAATAAGAGCACTACCTTTTATCAATTCACAAGAACGATGTTCTAAAAATTGAGCATAATCATATTGTGCTTGAGTTTTAAATGCAGCTAGTTCTTCGTCTTTAGCGAAAAGTGATAAACAATGATTTGATGTATTACATGGTTTTCGAGAAAGTCACTGAATTGAAGGTGAGGAATAACCAATAGTTAGGAAATTTGATGGAAGACATTGTTCATAAAAAGAACTATCATTAGATGAACCAAAATAAATGCTGTCTTGATTTAGAATATCAAATAGACTTGTCAAATTATTTGCTGGTAAATCATTATGGATAACCAAAAATGAATTTTCAGTTGTTTTAGATCGTTGAATAGAATCCATAACTGTTTTTATTGCATATATTGAATTTATACCATGAGATGAAGCAAAATCAGCAATAATTATAGGAAAAGATGAACCCAGGTGAATGAATCTTATATCGAATCCAACCAGCCTATAAAATCCGATGGTATTTCGGGTCACGGTACCACTAACGGATCCGACAGAAAAAAACATTTAATTAATTGACCACTAATTAGTACCTCAAGCCAACATTAGAGGGTAGTCCGAGTCGAGCGTTGGATCCGTCACAATCCGACAGTAGGATCCGATAATTAGGCAATGCTATTCCGACACTAGGGATCCGAATGCCATTCCACAACCCGGAATCCGATAGGAATTCGCTGGTTAATTGGAAATTTATATAAAATCCGATCAGAATCCTATAGGATCTTATTGGGTCCGATTGTCGGAATGATCCTCCTGGGTATTCGACAATTTCGAAAAAACAAAAGATTTAAAGACATACACAGAAAAAACAACATAGATATTTCCGTATGTTTCGAATATCGTAAGTTGGCGTACAAAACTATTTTTGAAAATTAGTTTTGAATATATATTTAGATGTATATAAAGCAGCATATCAATTGGTTCAATATGAAAAAATTAATCCATATAAATTCCATTGATATGATTGTGCATCGTCATATCATACTTAAAAAATAATTATTTTCTTTGCTCATTGTGCCCAGGTCGAGCAGACACGGTCGTTTACGACCGTATACGGAGAAATACGGCGAAATACATGTCTCAGTATTACGATCATATATCTCCGTGTCGTATACGGCGAAATACGACCATATACGGAGACAAAAAACGATCGTTTACGATTCGTGTACATTGAGCCCGTATACGATCTCTGTATTGCTCCGTATTTTACCGTATATGGTCTTATTTCTCCGTATACGACACGCTGATATACGATCGTAATACTGAGCCATGTATTAGGGTTAAATACGATCGTATACGGGGACAAACGGAGCGTATACGGGGACAAACGGAGCGTATACGGCCGCTTACGATCGTATATGGGCTCCGTAAACCTCAACCTGGGTGTCGAAATTCTGTCGAATTTAGGTTGGTAATTCTTGAACTTGACGAGCTCTATTATTTGCTTATCAATTGGCGGAGTTACGCGTTTATATTTCAAATTAAATCAATATTGTTTTTTTGTAATAAAAAGAACTTGATCATCAAAAAGGGTTTTTTTCATTACATTTATTAAATAATAAACATGTCGTATGCCAATAAAATTCAATTACACTGATATGCACTCATTTTTATTCCAACAGCGAATTTCATGTATTCATCAATATTCATATATATTTTGAGCAAAAATTCACCATCAGATAACTTCAAAGAGATCTCTTTTCTTTTGAAAACATACTGTATTCAACAATAAAATAACCTTATGAATGTTCTGAAGACAAACATTTCACTTCTAATACATTCATGATGACCAGTTTTATCAAAACATTCATATTCATTTAGCGTTTGTGTTGTACTAGTTTGCTTAAATCAACACCAAAGACTTTGCCAGCATTAGGCATGCAACGAACCTAAACGTTCGGGTTCAGGTTCGGTCATTCGTAGTTAGTTATCAAAGTAAGCAGAAGAAACTCAATAGGAAGGTTTTGAGGTTTGACAATGATATATTTACCATAGTCAACATGAGACTTTAGTGGAGCTTGCAATATGCGAAAACATTTGCTTGAGTTGCATTAGAAAAATAATTATAATAGAAATGATGACCGATAAACAGGCAGAGCTAACGGATTCCGGTAAGAATTCTCAAAATGAAGTCACATCTATTGTCATAAATAGAACTTTCTAATTGTTTTTGACGATATTTTTCATTGATTTTTTTGTTAATTTTTTTCTTATATAACATTATTGATATACTATGTTTTGTTCTGTGTCAGAAATTAAATAGAATTTAAGTAGTTAACAACTGCATCGAAAATAAAATAGTTATCGGTCGCTTGAAATAATTTTAAATTTATTATTACTCTAATTTTATGTTTAAGACTCAAGCTACGATCTTCCTACATGAATATCAAATCTACAATACGAAAAAGTCTATTATTTCTGTTTCTCGTGCTATCTTTTTATATAGTTTTTCAACATAAATTTTCTTTTTCACAGATAATTTATATAAATGCAGAGAATCCAACCTTATTTCATGAAGCTCTCAAAACAAATCTTATACATTATACTGATAATCAAGAATAGCTTGCTTATAGATGTAACTACTGAATTATTTACAGTTTTCCGGCTCGAATCATAATCTTTTTTAAATTATAAATTCACTAATCAAATTTAAAATAGCTCAAATTATACTATTATTATTGCATAGATATAAACGTCTAAAAAGAAAAGTTTCTTTTTAATAACCGATACAATTATGTAGTAAAAAGCGTAAGTCTATTGAATACTCTTATCTATCTGAAATTTCTAGAGTAACTATTAGAGGATCCCTGCTACCTTCTCGATGTTCTTTTTATTAAAAATGATTTTAATCAAGCGAGAGGGAAGAGCGAAGAGAGAAATAAAGCATTAAAGAATGCGAGTTGAATAAATAAATATCGACAAGAGCGCAATGAGTCAAGGAATATAATATATGGTAACGGTCAACTTGATTAGAGTAGCTTGTGCCACTCTCGGCAAAGATATTTATTAGACTACTACAAGTATCCAGATTGTAACGACAAAACTAGACAGTGTCGCCTACGCCCATCGGCATGATGGTGTATTGTATCATCTGACATCTCTAGTCGTGCCCCAACTTCATACATAACACACGTATATATAGGAGAGAGATAGAAGAGAGACAAGAGAGATATATTAGAACAATGGAAAGAGGACAGAAGAGAAGGAAGGAGAATCATCGAAGCGTGCCATCAATATCGGCACAGTTGCCATGGCGTGTTTTGCTTCTGCTAGATGACTCTTCAGATGGCTTTAGATCTATCCCATGTGAAAATTTCAGCGAAAAAGCTAGTTTAAAGTCGCTTAAAAATTCGCTTAAACAGCACCTTTCAGCGCACATTTTTAAGCGACTAAAAGTGCTTAGAACAAGACATCTAAGCACTTTTAAGTGCTTAGGATCAAACATCTAAGCGTTTTTAACTGATAAAATAGAATATTGAAAAAAGAAACTATTCGCGACTCTGAACTCTTTATGAACGAAATATACTTGAAATTGTGCCAAGTACCATTTTATTTCATGTTACTTACGTTTTACTTCATTAGCAACTAGCCGATCGATTTTTTGAAACAGTTCTAATATATGCCGGAACCTGGTCTCGAACTTTGCTCCTGTAGTCGATCGAATTGGAAGTCAATAGAAGAAGCCACTTGACTACATTGCCGTATAAATAGATAACGATGAAAGTAAATTATAAATTATACGAAAATAAGATTTCACACTAAGTTGCACCCTTTTGTTATAGTCGTGCTTCCAATTACACACTAGAAGCATTTTAATTCTTGTAAATATTTCTGAGTTTGATTACTTTTGCGAAAAATTTTATTTTAGAAATTGTATAATTAATCTTTTTCTGTTAAAAGAAAATGGGTTTTAAGAATTTCTGCTTCAACACTATCGGGTCAACGGCATGTGAAACCTGATATTAAACTGATTCTATAGTTTGTTCTTCAGTATTTTTTATTTTTTTCCGAAAGATTTCGTCATCGAAAAGTATTTTATTTACGTTTGATGTAATACTTTAACTTTTAGATTTCCCAGTATCAAAGAAAATATGTAACACTAGTAAAAAGTCGAGCGAAGTTATCAGATGGTAGTGCACACTAAATAAAAATGCGTCGGCTGTATGTGTCGTGAATTTTTGTGTCGCACTTTGAATGAAAAAAATGTGTCGTATATTTTTCGCGTTCTGTCAGTCGACTAGTCGTTCACCGTTTTGTTATGAACATACAGCGACATATAAGCAACATCGTTGAA